ACATGACTATATGTCCAGTTTTGTATCACTCGTGAAATACTTGAAGCTGCTACAATGTCCGGTAGATAGCGCCTCCACCATTGCTATGTTCGCTTCCTCTATTTTCATGATTTGTTTGTTATACAAATTTTATTGTTATACATTATAGGCAACCAAAAAGTGGTATGTGTCGCTTCTTTTTTTTTCCTTTATATGTGCATCATTAAATAAGGTATAGAAAAAAGACTGTTACAAGCAAAAGTTCATTTATAATCTCAGTGTTAGTCAGCTGTTCATCAGTGTTGCTAAGCAATGAGACAAACAATAGCACACAAGAGCAGGACCATGAGAACAGCAGCACACAGTAGGAAATCCATGAGACCTCAGCACACAGGAGCAGCAGCCCATGGCCCATAGGCTCCTTTCCTTTGTGCCAGATATGAGGAAGAACAATGCATCGTGCAAACGTGTGGAGAAGGAGCCAGAAGCAAGAGTCAGGACAGGGCTGAGGTAGAGTGTGCCCCAGAGACACACCGCCCTGCCATGAGCTCAATCCTCCAGAGAGGCTCCGCATCCTGTCTTCCACCACCTCCTACCACCCTCAGCTAGGAACAGCGAAGACAGGAGCATCTGGGAGACTCCGAAGATCCCGACCATAGCACAGTCCTTTCCTACGGATTTGCCATCACTGCGACTGTGCGCTTTTTCTTGGAGAGTGCCAGAAATGGCTGAAATGCATTCCTTTCAGCCGAAGTTATTAATTCCTAGAGAGAAACTCTCATGCTTGTTTTTCTGGGACTGTATGGGTCTTTTGAAGATTAGTCTTGTCCAATACAGAACTGTTGATTAATGAATTTCCTTTTGGCATCAGGAATATGCTATCCAACTGTTCTGTGATCTCCATGACTTCCAATATGCAGTGAGGTAGTTTTGTGTGTGCTGTTTTGAGGGTTGCATTCCACACTGGAAATAAACTCAAAGCTTTGTGCATTCTAGTCAAGCACTCTATACTGAGGTCCATTCCTGGCAAAAAGTCCATTTTGAATCTTACTGAGCATCTTGCATACATTTTTGGCTCAGTGCTTGGGTGAGTCTCACATTTGCATATGTGTAATATGCAGTCTCCAACTTTATCCTATTCTGATCTTGTTGTGCTTCTTAGATAAGAATATTAATGCTGTTCATAAAGTTATGGACGTTTCCAGCCATTGTTCCTGTCTGTCTATTTTTCTTTAGAAACTTCTACTCTCTGTAAATGGTATGCTTGATAGTGTTTTGTTCGTTTTACTTCATTTCTTACTTATTACTCTAAGTAGGTCATCTCAATGGGACTATATTTGTATTTATTGATTATTTCTCTGAACCTAAACCTGATACTAAGGTCCTCTTTTTCATTTGATTATTTTTCATTTGATTATTATACTTTCCACCCTATAATTTTTCCCTTTTAAAATTTTTACCTGTTTATATTGTCTGTTTGATGATTCATCACTCTCATGTTTTGCTGTCGCTCTGTAGACAAGATGTCCCTTTTAGCCATTTGAACATATTTAAATGGCTGATTTAAAGTCTTTGTGTAGTACGTACAACACCTGGACCCGCGGGGAGGGTTCTTGTTTGTCCTCCCCGCTTTCGATGTATGGGCCACAGGATCATGTTTCTTTCTATGCCTCATGACACTTTTTCTGAAGGCGGACATCTTCAGAATCGCCATGTAGCAAATCCAAAAGTGAACTCGCCACCCCTGTGTTTGTGTTGGTGTTCTGGATCGCACTGTTGTGGTGATTTGTTTGTTCGGTGTGTTTCCTCGACTAATTCTGCAAGCTCTGTGACTTTTTGAATGCTCTAATGAATCTGCCCAGTCTCTCTTGTTTGGCCTGGTTGTCAGTTAAAGACTGGACTGGCATTGTCTTCAAAATAGTAACTGATTATTATTATTATTATTATTATTATTATTATTATTATTATTTGCTGGCAGGCTTCGAGTATGTCTGACAGTACATCTCTGATGCTCAGGTAGAAGTTTCCATCCCCATTTTATTTTTATTGTTCTTTTTTAGGGTATTTTTTAAAGTTTTATTAATTGCAGTTTATTCACTTTGTATCCCTACTGTAGCAACCTCCCTCACCCCCTCCCAATCTCACCCTTCCTCCCTCATCTCCTCCTATGCCCCTCCCCAAGTCCAAAGATAAGGGAGGTCCTCCTCCCCTTCCATCTGACCCTAGCCTATCAGGTCTCATCAGGACTGGCTGCATTGTTTTCCTTTATGGCTGCTCCCCCATTAGGGGGAGGTGATTAAAGAGCCAGCCACTGAGTTCATGTCAGAGACAGCCCCTGTTCCTATTACTAGGGAACTCACTTGGACACTGAGCTGCCATGGGCTACATCTGTGCAGGGGTTCTAGGCTATCTCCACGAATGGTCCTTGGTTGGAATATCAGTCTCAGAAAAGACCTCTTGACCGAGATGTTTTGGTTCTGTTGCTCTCCTTGTAGAGCTCCTGTCCCTTCCAGGTCTTTCTATCTCCCCCTTCTTTCATAAGATTCCATTCACTCTGCCCAAAGTTTGGCTATGAGTCTCAGCATCTGCTTTAATACCTTGCTGGATAGTCTTTCAATGGCCCTCTGTGCTAGGCTCCTGTCCTGTTGCCTGTTTTCTCCCTCTTCCTATGTCTATCCCATTTGCCTTTCTGAGTGAGAATTGATCATCTTACCCAAGAAGGGTCCTCCTTCTTGCTTACCTTCTTTAGGTGTACAGATTTTAGTATGTTTATCTATATTATATGTCTAATTCACTTATAAGTGAGTATATACCATGTGTGTCTTTCTGCTTCTGTGATACCTCACTCAGGATGATCTTTTCTAGTTCCCACCATTTGCCTGCAAATTTCATGATTTCCTTGTTCTTAATTGCTTAATAGTATTCAACTGGCCTGGGAGCTTCAAATAAAGATAAAGAAAGCCCTGTAAATATCTCACTTTATCTTTAGTTGAAGCTCCTGGGCCAGTTGCTCATTAGCCACAGTTGGCATTTCTAGTGTAGGCAGTTGCAGTGTTAGGTGATTGGCATGGACTGCCTTCAACAAATACCCCAAAGATGAAGCCTTCCTCAGTGAACAATGCATGGGTCACATAATCTTTATCCCTGTAAGTGGGACTTTCTGGATATTTTAGAGTGTCTGGGAATGGGGCTTCTTGAATAACTCCAACCCTGGGCACCTCCTCCAGTGCCTGTTAAGTTGCTATTGGACACAGATACTATGATTGAAGCAGTTGAGCAGCTATCTGCTTTCAAAGAAACTGTAGGATTTGGCATCAGCGGACAGATGGGGCAGGTTATAAACCCCACAGATGTTTGATTATTGTTGTCAGAGAACTGTCCTTGTTTAGATGCTCCTTGGGAAGCTGCCGGCTTCTTGTTGATTCTTAGAATTCTGAAATGGTTGTTTGGCAACTTTTCCAGGGTTTTAGTTGTTTTTGTGAAAGTGAATTTTGGAGATCATCACCTCATCTTTCTTGAAGGTCTCCTTGTCCCAAAACACAGCAGTGTCTTTAACTATTAAACAAGAACAAGAAAGAGAGAAATAAATTTCTAAGCATGTATCAGCAATGGAAATTCTAGTTACATCATGGTTTCTTTCATGACATAGCAAAAAGCTACCAACAGAGAGGTAAAAGTGGGAGTGTGAGATAGTATGTGAGAGGCAAATAAAAAAAGAACAACCCAATTTATATAATAATTCATGTGACATGTGTGACCAAGATTATTACAATTATTTAAAGTAATAATAATAATAATTTATTCTTGAGAATGGGCTGGTTTGGTGGGGGGGTATCCTTTATGCCTAATACTACTGAAAAATGAAAGAGTGAAAATTTAAAATTTGGGATCTTTTGTGCATTGTTTGTATTTTCCTGATACTATATGTTCCTTTTCTAATGATTACAGTTATTTAAGAAATATTTATGGCATGTTGAAATCCTACTTTATCTAAAAATTCTCAGATGGGTCCCATTTAATTTTGAATAACTTCTTCCAAAGCATCATGTTTCCTTTTCTTCCAAGCACTTGGTTGGAACACATAGCTACATTTCACCTTCAAATACATTGAATAGTGAAATGCTTTAATTCAGGAACTCCTTTGAAAAATGTCATGAAAACCAGTAATATATATACCAGTAATTACTGGATATATATATCCAGTAATATATATACCTATTCACATTATTTTCTTAATTGTGAAGCATTCAGCTAAATTAATTGTTCAAGGCAAGTGCTACAAGTAATAAATGAAGGAATGTGGAAGAGAAACAGAGACCTAGAACCCTTGGGTCTTCATATATATGCATATGTGTATGGAGTGTGTGTGTGTGTGTGTGTGTGTGTGTGTGTGTGTGTGTTTGTGTGTGTGAAACAGGGAGGTGCCCTGAAGTTACCTGGGACCATAGAACAAACAGCAGTACATGCTAGATCCTCTATGGCTCTTAGAGGAAGAGAAGATCTCTTTGCTGTGGCTTCTCTCTCTGTCCTTGGCACCCACACCTGATCTCAGGCACCGTTAGAATATAGGAAGACGGTGTGGAATCTGGCCTCGCAGCCAGCAGGCTCCTGTCAGTTTTCAGTGACCACACTGTTTCCAACCTGATACGTGCTACCAAAGAGTTACATGGAAACCCCGAGAAAGATTAGCTAGTTGACCTGCAAGAGAGTACTTTGTCACAGCACAGCCCTAGGGCTTCTGGGTACCAAGTGGTGTATAAACACTTGTCTGAAAGAAGAGCCTGGAGATTTTGGTATGTGAAGACAGGTTGTAAAAGCTACAACCTAGAAGAAAGAATAAAGGATGTTTGAAGAAAAGGGAAGAAATGGATGCCAGATGAGCAAAGTAAGGAAAGCAAGAACACAGAATGGGACTCTAGCACGAGGCGTGAACCGCATCTTCACACAGTTCTTGCTTACATGCCCTAGCCTGGTACCAGTACAAAAACTAACCATCCTGTTGTCTGTTTGGCTTTCCACAGCTCCCCTTCGCGGAAGGCCTGTATCATTTTTATCACAACGGCCTTGCAAAGGCCAAAAGAAGACGCAGCCTGCACCACAAGCAGCAGCTGGAGAGAGACCCCAGGGTGAGTCCTCAGAAACCTGAGTCTTTCTCAAGCCCCACTGCTACAGCAGCACTCGCCCAGTGGATGCAGAGGGCAGGCAGGAGATGCTGAAATGCTGGGGTTCTGTATGTTTTGATAGAAGAAATGGATCATTGGCAGACACTGTAGACTAACTGCTCCTGTTTTGTGCATAGTAAATAACCCCAGGCCACAAGCATATGGGTGGAGGAGGAAACACGAGTGCCTCACTGCCTTCTCCTGGTTGCAGATTGCCTGGAAGCATGATTTGGCCTATGACACACAATGTTTTACTGTTTATGGATGGTTTCTACTGGCAAACTAATGCTCTGAAAAAGTTTCTGTGTTTCATATTGTGAACAGAAAAATATGTACACTGGCTCCCTACAGGCTGGCCATCACCTACAGCTGGAGTCTGAGTATCCAGTCATAACTGCAGCCACAGAGCCCACTCCCCACTCTTCCCTGTATTCTCTCTACCCCCATCTGATGCTGACTCCTCTGCTGTCTTCTTTTATAATTTTAGTAATATTTTAATTAAAAAATACTTATGCCATCTACCCTTTCCCGTTCCTCTTTTCAACCCATTCCCTCCTCTTTGCTCCTTCTCAAATTTATGGCCTCTTTTTTTAGTCGTTGCTAGATTTTTATAAAAATAATTAAATATATAAACAAGAGCTGCTGAGTCCACTTAATGATACATATGTGCAGTTCATATAGATAGATGATAGATAGATAGATAGATAGATAGATAGATAGATAGATAGATAGATAGATAGA